GACATTCACGAATTCTATTAGACTGGATGACAACCAATTTAGGAAAATTTGAAGAAAATCTAATTTTCTAAAAACTTATATATAATTTCACTATTTGAAATTATTTATTTCATAATAAAAAAACTAACAATATTTCAATTTCGTTAAATAAATTAAAATCTTATTTACTTAATTAAAGTAATTTAATTTTATCTAATTTAATGCTACATATAATATAATATATAATAATATATCATATAATATAAATAATTAAATAAAATAATTCTAATTTATTATATATATATATATAGAATTAAAATATATTTATAGAATTTTTTTAATTATAAGAATTTTAATTATAAAATTAATATAATTTTTTCTTAATTGAAGAATTTTATAAAAATATTAATTTTGTAATAAAATTTCTTATTTTCTAATGAATCCTAATCTTAACTGAACGGTAGATTTTAGTTAAATTCTTTAGGTTAATTTAAGAAGGAACGTGCCAAATGCTTTTGTGAAAACATATTGCTCATAGGTACTTGCTACTTTTGGATTATAGGGGCTAATAAAATCCCCATAATCCAGCCACGACATTTCATTGGTTAGGGATAGATGCGAAAGTGACCACAGGTACATTGAGATAGTTAAGTGAATTTTGTTTTCCTAATCCTTAATGAATTAAGGAAAGAAATAATAATCAAATAAATATTTCAATAAAACCATATATGATAGAAAATTATTAATATATTTAAAATGCAGTTAAATCATAATTTTGAAGAAATTCGTTCATAAGAAATAATAAGTAATGTGTTATGGAAGATATGACGACGATCAGGGTGGTCCTCTCTCACGATTCAAGAAACCTCGTTCTGGAACCGATGTATACACGGTACACGCGTCGTCAACGGAGCCGTCGACGTCGTGGATGCTGCCAGAAAGAAAGTTGATCTGAAAATCAAACAAACAACCGATGCTGCGTTTCTGCACTTCCGTCGTCACCGTTTGTTTATTGTCACTGAGAGATCGCTGTTTTAGAGTATGTGCGCAGTTTAATGTCGTATTTTACATATTATGTAACTTTTATATTTTAATTACAAAATCATTTATGCTTAAAGAATCATAATCCAATCATAATTAGTGAACAGTTTATATAATCATTTTATCTTCAATATTTTACATAATACTTTAGTAAATATTCAATTTTTTCATGTATATGTGTATAATGCTAAAATATAATGTTAAAGAAAATATAAATGAACATATAATCCATTTGATTACATATACAATCATATATATTATTTCTTTTTATATTAACAATACATTATATATAAAATATTTCTTAATATTTAGTCGAAGTTACAGTACAGTTTTCGCATTTATTTATTATTTATTAAGTATTGTTAACAGAATAGTTGAGACGAATCAAATGATCGATTACAATAACGGAAAAAATACGTATAAAATTCGATATGCAACTACACGATTACACACGAATATGAATGTTTCATATTCATAATTTTTGCATCTCGTATATTTATCAATTTATTTTAATATTAAATATTATCGCAATTATTATGAATTAATTGTTTTCATCAAAACGATATTATAAGAAAGGTTAAACGATATTTTTTTTTTAGATGAGATAAAGGAAAGGGAAAGAAGAGGTTAAGAATTAAAGATTTAGAAAAGAAATTGTGTAACATCGGTTCTTTATACTCTTGTAAGACGGACATAATGAAACATAATTCATTCCCATGCACCTTGGAGACGTCGTCTGGCGAACACATGTCTCCATCGAATTTTATCCATTAGAAAAAAGTGCGCCCTTCATCATATGACATTGGCCGTCGTCGAATATTGAAACTCGAACTCGCTAATTCTCCAGATGCTAGCTTGTTTCAAAGGGTTATTAAACATATTTTTATGTTTACAATGATGGAAATATTTAGATTCTCAATATATACTTTCAGTTTCAAACAAAATATTCATGTCTTAAAATAAAATTTTTGATAATTTAAATTTAATAAAATAAAACAAAATAAATAGAAATAATAGAAAAATAAAGAAAAAATAAAAATAAAAGAAAAAAATTAATAAAAAAATAAGTAAATTTTATATATTTTTTCTTTTTTTTTTGTAAAGAAATAAATTTTTTAAGGTAATAGAAACTTTTTTCCTTAATTTCTTTTTTACTTTATTTTAAATAAAGAATAGTAATATTCTTTCTTCTTTGTGTATTTTGTATTTTATATTTTGTGAAGAAATATCTGTGACCTGTTTTCTTTATAGATAATAGTTTAGTTTACCAAGGAATCTCTTTCAATGAACATTAAATATTTTAAACAGGATTAGTAAGCCTATTAAACTAGTTCACTTGAAATTCTTAGTAAATATTGAATGTGCCTCTGAAAATAATATTTACTACATTCTAGAATTCAGAAAACATTCAGAGAAGAAAATTCATTCAAAGAGAGCATATTTATTTCAATTTTTGTTTAAATTTTTTTATAATATTATTTAATAACTTATTAAATAATAATTAATTAATAATTAAACTAATCTATTATTAATAACTAACCTATTAATTAATAACTTTATACAATTAATTTTTTAATGACAAATTTTTTAATAACATAAAACAAATTTACAAAAACAATATCTATTTAGAAATATTTTTAGATATATAATGAAGTAACAAAGAATGAAAAAATTCTTTATATAAATTCTTTTTATTTATTAAGCAAGTATGAATTTAATTTTCAATATATTTATTTCTTGTTAAGAAAATGGATGGACATTGATTAAACAAATTGAAGAAAACAGTTGTCTAATAATCACATCTGTTCCTGGATTACGAATACGATAAATTTGAACCGGTGAAACTAACAGCTGGATTAGTGAATGTTGTCGCGATGTCAACGAGGAGCTTTCATCTTCTATCTTGTAATTTGCGAATCTCTACATTTCAGTCTAATAAATTTACTAAATAAATGTGAAGTTCAAATTACTAATTTCTTACAAGATTTTATATTATTCTTTATTTAAATTATATTTTTATAAAGAAATAATTGATACAATTTAAAAAATTTTTTTTTTCATTAAAATTTTTTACAATTTTTTTCAATTATAATATTTATAATATTTATAAAGTATATCAATGTAACTTTGTTTTATTTTTTTTCCAACGACAGCAAAGAAAAAAATACGAGTTGTTCAGAACATTCATTCACAAGAAGTCCGGAAGTGAAAAAATAGCGAGAGCCAAAAAGCAACAAAACCTGTCAGAATGTTCCTAGACTTATTGTCTCCACATTTTTGTTACGGCTTAGTATGCATGTGCGGATTCTGTACGCATTTCAGAAATATTTCTACTTCAAACACACGTGTTCACCATCAGGTTGTCCAAGTGGTTGTTTGACCTTCGCTTTTCTGCTCTTTTAATCCTTTCTATTAATGTTCATTTTTATTTTCCAATAATTCACAATTTTCTTCATTATAATTGTATTAAAAATTAATTCTTAATTCTAATATTGTTAAAATAATTTTTTATTATTTAATTAGAAAATTTTTTAAGAAACCAATTTAGAAAGAATTAATATACTAAAATTTAAAACTAGTATTATTAAAAATAAATATAATAATTAAAATAGAAATATAATTAAATAAAGATTAATATAAAATATAATTTTTTATTTAAGAAAATTTGTATTTTTCTTAACTAATATATATGTTTTTTTTTAATCAGGCAAGAAAAGAGAGGTGATGAATCTGGATTGAATTTCTCGAATTAACGTCTTCGAGGGGGTATTAGACCCACGTGAATAACGTGGACCCTGATGCTAAGATCGTGAATTAGAAAAAAAGGGCCTCACGGGTTGTTATGGCATGGATGGGCCTCTGGATTCCTCAGTGGGGGTTCCTCGGACATTTCTTTCGTTTCTCTTACCACTCCCGACGATCCATTGTCATTTCTTCTCCTCACTGTCAAAAATGAAATTGGAGAATACTGGTGAAGTATTTTCTAATATTTTAACTTTTTTTTATAAAAAATTTATAAGTTTACATATCTAATTGTATATCTCATTACAAACCAATTTTGTATAAACATTGTATTTAAATTCTAAAATTAATTAATTATTATTAATTAATGAATTTAAACTATTCCGAAATATTAAGTTATTTCTACAATAACAATATCAAATTTTATTTTTAAATTCCATGATTTCAAGTAATAAATTTTTTTCTTATTTGTTATATTTATTTTAATATTTTTTTTATTATATTCCATTTTAAATAATTAATAAATATTTAACAATATTCATTGAGTATTCTAAAATAAATTATAGATAACATTCTATATATTCTATATATATATTCTGAAAATACATTAATATATAAAAATATATAACATATATATATATGTCATACAGTAGTCAAGAAAAAAAAAAGAAAAACAAGAAAAAATGTTGAAAGTTGAAACTAATGATAGGATGTCGAGTCACTAATTGCCATGGAAATTTTGCAGGGTCTGGTGAATTCGTTCAGGAGATTCTAAGGCACGGTTTAAGAGGTCAAATCTAAACGATCCTAGTTCTTGGAAGGAGAGAGCCATCAGGACACGCGACACTTCCCGACTCAGAGGAAGCGTGTTCTTTTTTATTTTCTCTTATGCATGAAACCCCATGGTTACGAACCACTGAAATCATACTGATGATAGATTCATCATTATTATTTCAGCGGATTTTATACATGTTATCAATTAACATAATTTATAAAAATTGAAAAAAAAAATAATTTCTTAGAATAAATTTTATAATACAGTTATTGATAAATAGACATAAAATGAATTTAATAACTTAAACAGATGTTGTAGATATATCGACATGATCCTTGAAAAAAAAGGAAGATATTCTATTTGTATTCAATTTATTTAATATACATCACATTATTTATACTTACTTTAGTTCATATAATCACTTTTCAAATTTATTAAAAAATGTTAAAAGTAACAATATTTATGATATTAAGATATTAGTCATGTAATGTATTAATAATAATTTTGTTTATACATATAAATAAGTTTAAAAATATAATTTGATAAGTATTGCAATTTTATTAATAACTAAATATTAAATATTAATGACTAGAGATCTAAAAGAAATGGTGAATAACGCCATACTGTATTGGATCCCCTTTTGTTTGATCCTCACCAACAGTGGAACAAGATAGATGCTCCAGTCTCTGATTGGAAGATACAGAACAGGTAAGAGATGAGCTCCACCCAGCTTTAATGGCGCTATTTTTTCAAAATGAATCTTTTCTCTTTATTACTCTTTATTTTTTCTTTAACATTCTTCTTTAATATATTAAATAATACAATTTTTTTATAGTAAAAAAATGAAAAATTTAGAGTGTTTAAGTTATTGTTTTTTTATATTAGAAATGTAAACGTTTGTAAGTGTGACAGACATTTGCACTGAAGATGTTTTGGGAACAACAAGCTGTTTCGTTTTATCAAAATAACTGTTATCTGATGTTGTTTCTATCCGTATTCATCATTTTCAAGGAAAATTTTATCTTCACATAGGTATTTTATTTTTTGGAGCATTTTTTTTCTATTTTTTATATTTCTTTGATTTTAATATTTTTCTATGATTTCTATATTTAATTCTTCATCTTCTAAATGATTTCTAAAAAAAAGATAAAAATCAATAATCTGATTTTAAATGAACAATATGTTACATTCATAGGCTATTGTGTTCGACTGCAGCCATGCTAAATGCACTGTGTCACGGATGTGTAACAAGAGACGATCGCTCTTTTTTTTTTTTTTTTCTTTTCTTCCCGTGAAGTTAGACGGAGCCGCTGCTTTGAAATTGGCACGCGGGATGATTTTAGCTATTCAAAGCCTGGCGGGAAGGAAGGAAAGTACGTTGCGTTCGACTCGCTGGCGCCAGCGTGACAAAAACTTTTCATAATCGGCTGTGTCTCCCCTCGTTTTTGACCTTCTGACATCGATGACTAGAAAATCCTCGAATTCCTGATGTTTCCTAATCTTTCTTCATGAATAATACCTGAATAACAGTGAGTAATCGTTAGAAATGTTTTAATTTCAATATTTGATTAATTTTGTTTTTTATCTTATAAAAGATTAGCATTATTTTTAATATTTTTCAGTATTTTTTATAATATTCTTATGTTGTATATATTACTATATAATAGTAATTTTTTTTATTAATATCTATTAAAAATTAGAGAAGAATATATAATACTAATTTTTTTTTTTGAATTTTGATAGTGAGGAATTTTTAGAAAAGTGTTTTTTTATATAAATATATTTTAATATATTATCTTTTCTCTTTTTCTCTTCGTAGATGAAATGAGGATACATCATTAAAATTTCTTCAATGAACCTTCCAAGAAGGATCCTTCTTTATCACAAATTTGTGAGGACCCTTTAGAACCTAATTTATAAAGAAATGGCTTTAATGAATGGTCCCACCATTCAAACTTTCATTTCATACTTTATAAAAGTTAGTTTCCAATTTTTGCTTTTTTTTTATTAAATATTATTGACTATTTTAAAAAAAAAGAAACTAATGAAAAATGTAATATAAATAAGTATTGATTAAATAATAAAAATGATTAAATAAATAAATAGAATACAAAATAAGTAAATAGATAAATAGAATAATTTTAGAATCTAAAGAATCTAATTTAAATTTTATATTTTTGTTATTAAAAAGAAAATAGCATATGATAATAGTTCACATTGGAAGGATTAACTAATATCGCCCTAACGTTCTTTTTCGAAAATAACGCTCGAACCACATGGTTTCATAGAGAAAACATAGTTTAAACCTAGGGATGATGGAACGAGGACGAAGAAGAGGATTCTCTTCATTAACACATACTTCATCAGTGGCTGTTAATGAATCACGTGTTCATATATCAGTTTTGAATGACTCTCGCTCTGTGTTTTTCCTAGCCTGTTAATTTATATCTCGAGAAAACTCCTCGCGGAGACCATTTTCGGTGTCCAAATAAAAAGGAGCCATGGTTCTGAAAGACCAACCCCTTTGACTTGCATAATAGGTTATCCTACTTTGGCCAGGGGAAACCATTTTTTATGTAATGCTTTTAGAATCCATGTTATTCCTTTTTTTCTTTTTTTCATAACTAAAAGCGGCTTCTTTGATGGGATTGATTTTAATTTTTTCTTTTAATCTTTAAATTAGATCGTAACCATTCTAGGAATGGAGTTTCCATTTTGGATATTGCATAAAACACCATAACATTCAACCAATAGAAAGGGAAGATAACCCACCCTTTTCGTTTCAATGAGGAAACCGACATCAGAGTTGCCCTTTTCCACTTTCTTTTCATTAAACCGACGACATGCAGTCGCAGAGGGGCGGCGCTTTTCGAATGGCAGCATCAAGGCGCAGACGCCTTCGGTTTCACACCGTGCTTCCGGTAAGAGTAGCCCATAGAATTCCTAAGGGGTGTCTAACGCCCTCGCGACACCAATCGTAAATTATTTGGGTTCTCATGCCCCGTTCCTTCTTAATTTATCTTATTCAAACCCGTGACGACCTCGATTCTAATTAAAAAAGTGAAACAATTGGTTGTTACAGATTTATGTTTTTGAATAATGTTAGATTTTAAGATTGAAGATAATATGCATTTTTTCTAGTATTTATTAATAATAATTTTTTTCTAAACGAATTATTTTTTCTTTCTTTTTCAGGTTTCAACTAGATCAATCATTTTCCCTATCAGAAATCTTTCCACTGTTCTGAAATAAACGGCAAACCGCGAAGGAGCTTCCATTTGCTTTTGCAAATGTGTTTACACGGCACTATATACTTCACCGGAATAATTCCTGGTGTCTTTTTGCTCTGTACGAAAACGAACGAGTTTTACTTGGCGCCTGTACCGCACCGGTATTGTGAGATCCGTGATTCCGTGGCATCGCCTGAGTAAATTCCATCCATTGGTGGGGGCGGCGGCCCTTACAATTTACTGTTTCCACGTTCCGATCTATTTTAATTATTTCTTCGCGGTTTGCCATGAAAAATTCCATAAATCTTCGTCCCTAAGGTAATTAGCGGGGATACTTTCGACTAGGCATAAATCCTGTAATTCCTTCCAGGAACCCCGGAACATTGACAACAGACGAGATGCACTGGAACTCCAGTGTTTCTCAAGCTTTAAATATTTTATAAAAAAATTTATTCATAATTTTCTTATAATTTTTTCAATAATGACAATTTGACAATTTATGAAAATAAGGAAAAATTTGAATTAATATATTATTTCAATTTCATTGGTTTATAGTTAATTATTATTTGATTGGTTTTTTTTAATAATAATTATAGAATGCGAGCATTTAATATTCTTGTTTGAGAATTCTTGTAAAGATTTTTTAAATATTTTTTAGTCGTTTAAAGAATTTAGAAATATGATAAATTAGATGATAGCTCGTTAAATAAAAAAAATCAATTATTGAATGAAATCATCATTGAGAGACGCTGTATCGTGGTGTATCACTTGAAAAATGAAGGAACAGCGCGTAAATTGCTATTATAGAGGTTTGAACGCTTGTAGCGGTTCTTAATTCGTGAGGACATTTATTTGCTACACTTTGGTGCAATATAATTCGACGCGTTTCTGCTATTTTTACTGTTTTGTGATTCATTTACCCTACTATTAAAAAGAATTATTGCCTTCGAGATTTGAAACATGTTACCACACCAACACCGTTCTTTAATTTCTTCTTAACGATTAATTGTATTTTATTTTCAGAAGAATAGATATTTCTAATTTTTTCAATGCTATAATGAGTCCATTTATACGTTTCTTCATCTTTCGATATAGAAAAGTTAATTTTATTTTATATATAATTTCTATTTTAAGAAATATAAATTCTGTAAAATATTGTAGGTTGAAAAATATTGGAAGAAATTGTTTTTAAATGATGAAAATACATTTCATTGTCGAGAAGGAGGTAGCTGACTGAAGATAATAATCACCTTCCGTTCGTCGTAAATCTCTCCTTATGAACGATGGCGATAGGGTTTGCTCGCACAAAAATAGAGTTTTTTTCCTGGCCCTCGTAAAATATTTATATGCGCAAATAGTGGAGAGTCGAGTCGAAAATAGGGTTGGTCCGCGACTCGATGAAAAGAAGACATCGATAAGGTATCCATGGAATTAATTCCTCTTCCTTTTTATTTATCGTTTTACTATCAGAAATATCTCTTTGATCGATTTATGAAATTTTCTTAAGTAAAATAAGAAACATTACTCGTAATCTTAATTTTGATCTTCAACTTTTCTATCTCTTTTATTTTTTATTTTTTAGATATGTTTACTTATATTAAAAATTATATTAAAAAAGAAATAATTTTTCTCTTTTTATAAAAAAAAAAGTCTAAGATTAACTTTAGAAATGACGTTTCTTATTTTGGGTTAAGATATGCTGACAAATTTAAATTGAAGAAAAAAGTGTGAAGTGCTTTGAAGATGATATTCGTGAGTTGCTTTCAGTATTGGATGAAGCTTTGAAATCTTTTCTGTGCAGATGTTAATGTCAGAGCGTCTGGGGAATCGAAGAGGTGACAAAATGAATCCTCCGGTTTTGATAGAGAAGTAGATCCATTATCCACTATCTCTCAAAAAGGTTGTTACTTTTGTTGGACAGCTGTTTCCTTTAAAAAAAGTTGGTTTTACTGAAACGAACTCGAATTAATCAAAATGGACAAAGAAGTTTTTTAATTTTTTTTTTTTAGAATTATTTAATTGAGAAACTCATTGTGTAACAAAAATTTGAATACTTCCTGAGTTCTTTTTTTAATAATAGATTTTTTAATGACTATATTATATTATATTATTATATTATATTATATAATGACTATATATATAATAGATTTCAATTTTATATATATCTAATGAATATAGTCGGTCAGATCTTTGAGCCGTTTCAACTTTCATAGTCCCGCCCTCGAAACAGGAAATTAGTTGCCGACAGGCGGTTCGAATTATACATTTCTCGGGAGAACCGGTAAGAAAGTAAGAATTTTTTTTTTTCTTATCTTTCTATCTTTCAATTTTCCTTCATTAATAATCATCAAAGGAAAATCGTATCCATTTACACAAAATCTAATTGCAGGTATCATGATCAAAAAATTTTATTAATTTTTATCTCGGTATATACTTCCACTTCACTTTGCTTATATTCTAACCCACAGTAAGTTTCTTTTTATGCAAGCTTTCTAAGAGGGGAGAAGTCGTCGACGTGTCCCCTCGACAGCTGCCACCACTGTAAGATCCGGTTCACACGACTCTCCTCGCTTATTCCTTTTTTCTTTCTTCTTTTTACATTTTTATAAGGGCTTTCTGAAAATTATATTTTGCTGACGTATCGAAGAAAGAAAATTTGAGAAAATTTGATGGGAAGATTTATAAAGTAATAAGATAATTTAATTATTCATTATTATAACGATAATAATGGAATAAATAATGAAATAAATTTGATTTTTAGAAGAAGTGTAAAAGAGTCATCACATACGGAGACTTTTTTATAGAAGAGCACTTATCAAGGACGTTCAATTTGCAATACATTCACATGGGGACAGTGTTAGTGGAAGTCAGTAAACAGGAAAACACTGTGAGCATTCATTCCTCTCTACTGACCCATATTCGCAGAAGTCGCTTATCTTTTCTTCTGCTTCTTTTCTATACTCTCAAACAATCAACCATAAGTCACACCATGCCTCGTTGATCTGTCATTTTTCGTTGTTCAGGCTCGTACAGACAAGTTTCTTCACCTTGCAACATATCAAACTTCATTTAAAAATCAAAATAATCTTGAATTGATGAGATTCTTTGACAATATTCGATTCAAAGAAATGAATATATACTGGTATTAGGAAACATCAAAGCATGTCATATTGTCAGATGTCGCTCTAAATATTATTTTTTTTTTTTTTACATTCTCAAGAAAAACTTTAAGGTAAAATAAAATATTTGAACATAAAAAGAATTAATATAATTAAATAATAAAAATAAAAATGTTTTAATTATTCAATTTCTCTTTTAACAAATGGAATGATATTTTATTGTATTATACTTATAAATAAATATTGGTTAAAATTTATTAAATTTATTGGTTAAATTTTATAAAAAAATACTTTTGATTATATAAATTCGTTGCAAGGTTGGTTATTAAACAAAATTGAACAGGGAAAGAAAAGGAAGTAATTGGATTGAATTCATTCATGGTTTTTGATAATATTCAGATAATATTTATCAGGGATATCGAATAAATATGATAAAAAGAATCGAAAAGAATAATTCGATCGTTAAGAAGTTAAGTTTTTTCAAAAACGTGAACGATATGCAGATTACTTGATCGATCTTTTTAATTTTTTAAATAAAATATAATATTAATAATTTATATTATATAAATTATTATATAATATATTAATAATTTTTAATTATATGTTTTTTTTTTCATTTTTATGATCATAATAATAAAATTATTATTTTTTACGAAGAACTATAAAAGAAATACTCTTAATATTAAAATTAATATTTAAATTAAAGTTTATATTTATATATAATATATATAAATATATAATATATATAATATATAAATAAATATATAATATATAATATACAATATTTAAATTAAAATTCATATCTATAATATTGGGTTATTCGGAAAATAATTTTGTTTTTTTTTTCATGACAAAAACGTGTGAAAAACGAAATTACTTTCCGAACAACCCAATATCATATTTATAGAAATAAAGTTATGGTAATATTAAAAGAACGGACAGTCGTATATTATCATTTTTCTTAACAGATTTCAGAGACCATCAGTCCATTGTTTTTCTCTGTTCTGTTGAAAGATGATCGATTTATAAAGTCAGATCGAAGAGAAGTGTCAGGTTGGAACGCCGTATAAAGAGTATACATGGAGCTCAGGTCAATGTCGAAACGACCACCACCTTATACACATGTCGATAGACATAAGTTTATGAATTCGCAAAATATCTCCACGACGAAAAAACAGAATGGTTCTCTACAATTACTTCATAATATTTCTTTTTTACAATTTATTTCAGAGATATATCTTTTTTATAATATATTTTATATTATTTTCACAATTTTATTTTCACAACATTTCTTTTTCATAATGTTCTTCAGATATTTTTTTTGCATCTCCATTAATATTGAAATTTAAGGTTTAAGAAAGGTCAAATTCGAAGAACAAGATGATTCACCACCAGTAATAGTTAAGGATGAATGTACTAAGTTTTCAAAATGTAAATTATTTATCTATTCCATTTGTGCGCTCCTGATATTCTTCATATGTATTATTTGGATTTTTCTGGTGTTCCCTTATCCTATGCATGCTTCTTGCATTATAAAATGGTATTTTGATTTTTATTATTCATATATTCATATTCATATTCACTATTAATAATTTCTATTTGAAATCTTATTGTGATATATAAAGTTATTTTATTTTATTTTATTTTTTATGAACTTTTTCTTCATTTTGATTAATTTTTATGATTGATTAATATTTTATCATTTATATTCTTAAAAACTTAGGAAAAATATTTTAAGATAAGATCTATTTTGCAACAATTTTGTGCATAAAGAAATTCAATATGTATTGACCAGCAATAGTGAAACTCGTATATTTTTCTTTGGCTAGACGACACCGCTTGAAAAATATACGAGCCACACTTTTCAAGCATATGAGAACGTCGCTTGTGTTATTTCGGTTCTCCCCTTTGAACTTCCATGCTGCCAAAAGACGATAATAAATTTTCATGAATAAAACAGTTAATTTGGAATTAAATATATCTTATCCTTATTTCCATAGACAATCGTGAGAATTTCTTTACTATTTTCTAATAACTTTTTATTATTTTTTATATTAAAAAAATATGTATTGTAATTTATTTTCTTTTTTATAATAGGAAGTTTGAAGATCCTTGCATATATGTCATGCAGAAATTTCGATCTCAAATACTTAATTGGTCATCCTGCATGAATTGTGGACCACGTGGTAGTAAATGTCTGTATACGGTAAGAAAAGCAATTCTAATTTATGAAAATTTTGAATAATTTTAGTTTCTTTTTAATATATTTAATATTTTTTTAAATTAATAATTTTATTTAATACTTTACTTTTAAAGATTTTTTTAATTATTTAATTTTCATTCTCTAGCTTAAAGAACCAAATCCAAATGAAAGTAATATAATTAGAGCTACACATCTTGCTTCAAATTTAAGAACTACGGAAACGATGAAAATTGATTTCGAACAAATTAACAAAACTTGTATAGCAACGGTATGTTTAATTTTTTAAATAATGAGTAAATAATAATTTCTTATTAAACTTCATTATTTTTTTACTACTAGGGAGAATCCACATCAAATGAATGGTTTAGAGTATTTGATTATGGTACAAATTACTGTAATTTGCATAATTTAATAACCGGGATTGGTTTTGATAAAAGTTTGAAATTTTTGGAACTAACAAGCAATACAGTTTGCACACAATATAATATGGCGGTTTGTAATTAAAAAAATTATTTTGATTTTTCTTTATTATTTATAAAACATTTTAATTTAATTATATTTGTTAACAATTTTAAATAAAATTACAAATAGGTTGTAATATTTTTATTGTTATTAATAATCGTAATGCGAGGATTTACAAAAATAAATTACAATTAAGTATTATGAACTTACAAAATATATGTTTTTCTTAACAATCTGTGATAACGAATACAAAATATATTGGAAAATACATCACATATTAATAATTATCTTTATTATACAATTCTTATTGAGTCTTTACTTTAAAATAAGTACTAATTACAAAATTCAAATATATACAATATTATCTACTTTATACAAATTACAATATTTGTTAGAGAGCAAAAGCCATAAATATTTTAAAGGCACCATATAAGTCATTTATAGAATTCAAGACTTATAATTGATAGAACAATTTCTTAACTTTTTAACTTAATTATGTAACAATATTGTGCTTTGTTTGAAATCAGATTAATTTTTAATAGAAAAATATTTCTAATTACAAGAAAGGAAAAGATTTAGAATTTTTAGATTTTATCTAAGAAATTTAAAAAATAAAATTTCGTATATAGAGTGAGAAATCTGTAATATACAAATTTTTTTCACTCGTAAATGTTTTTAAGAGATGAAATCATTAAAATGAACTTATAATTTTCTTTCTTATGGAATTAGTTTCTTGTAAAATATAATGAGATATATATAAAAGATAAATTTTTAAATATCTATCACACAATTTTTAAATATATAAGATAAATTTTTAAATATTTATCACACAATTTTTAAATATATAAAATAAATTTGTAAATATCCACCACCACTATATAAAATTAAATATTTTGACTATCACATACTAAAATAAATTCTTTTCTTGTTATTTTATTTTATAATTATTAAAAAATTTTTCAATCACCCATAATTGAGCTTCCAAGAGAATGTCTATTACAATACATTTGTCCATTTATTGCACGTAATCGACATCTTTTGCCACTTCTTGTTATAGCATTACATATTCTTGAAGTATATGATGGAGTAACACTAAAACAAAATAAGAAAATAATTATTGAATTCTTTAATAAAATCAATTATTATTATACATTATATATTATTATATATATTAAAATTCACATACCTTCTGGAAGGCGACTGTTGATGAGAATAAGAAGATCTGTTTGTAAGACTTTCTAATTTTCTTAATCTTTGTCTAAGATCATTAGCATCGATTAAATTTTCGTAATCATCAACGCTTCTATTTCTTTCGTCTATCAAATTCGAATTTTCATAATCTTCAGTGACATCTTCAGACATACTTGGATATTCTTGTTCATAATTGTGAATAAGATCTTCTCGATTTTTTCTCGAAGATATATACGAACAAGATAATTCCTCGCTTTGTACAAAACTTGGTTTGCTCCATGAAGCTACTGCCTGCACCAACGAACTAAATTTCTCTGAAAATTATAATTAATTTTAATTATTATACAAGAAAATTATATTATAAATAATTTTTTTAACTTACCAATACAGCGATTTATTTGGTAGCACACAAAAATGTAAAATTTCCAAGTATTTTTTTTTAGATTTGTGTAGAAAGATATTGAAGGAGTATATGATGATTGGAGATTAGAGTAAGAAGAAACATATTCGCGTGTTATACCATTTACATGACCATTTTGATTAATGATTTGATTTGATTCTGATCTTTTTATATTTTTTGGACCACATATACGTTGAATTCCAACCATCATAAAGTGCACTAAAAATTAAAAATAATAAGACTTTAAAATATTCAATAAATTTATACATATTTTTTCTATATGATACATACTCATCGTAATTAAGAATATCAATACACTCATTGATACAAAATCCAAACAAGCATCCATGCCATGTTTTAAGAAAGATAACAAATTTAATGGTACAATCCCCATAATAGTGATTCTAGTTAGCAATGGTGCATGAAGAAATGCAGCAATCACCATAGCAAATAATAAATAAATAATGTGTAAACCTACACGATATATTCGATGCATTTGTTCTCCTGAAAATTAAGAAAATTATTTAGTTTCCTTATTATCAATATTATATCATATATTTTTTTCAATTTATAATTGAAAAAAAGTATTACCACTGTCGCCTATATATTTAGTTAACCAATTAAGTTTTTGATCCATTTCTGCACGCATATTGTTTGTTATATCCCAAATATATTGAATAGTATTATTAATTTGACTTAATTTTTGCAAAGTTTGTTCATATTGGACAAGTACTTCTTCATGTTGTGTAAAAATTCGATTTGTGCTAGATTCTATTTTATCCCAAATCAAGTGTGCTTGTTCTTGAATATTCATTAAATCCTCAAGTATTTCCTTATGATTTTGACTACGTTCGATAGCTTGTTCCTCTAAATTTTTATTTGCTTCCTCTAAAAAATTCAGTTAATAAAATAATCAATAATCACAAATATTTTTTACCTCCATTTGTTAAATTAATTACCTAATTTTTTTCTAATATCATTGGCCATTGTTGCAAGTTGTGCGTGACCAGATCGAATCAAAGCTTTTTCGTTATTCAATTCTCTTAGATTTGTTGTCACAAGATTATGAGCCGATGCTTGTGCGTCTTTTAAATATTTTTGTTGTTCTAATAATGCTTTATTGCCTTTTGACAATGATTCTAAAGCTTCTACAGTTTGTTCTTCTAAACGATCCTGACTTTCCTGAATTAATATATAAAACAATAGCAAAATATTAAATAATAAAATAATATAATAAAATAATGAAAATAATATAATTCATTTTAGATACTTACTTTCAAAGAACTCAATGTTTTGATTTGTGTATGAGCAGTTTGCATTAATTTGTTCACAGTTAATTCTGAAAGAGCACGGAATTGAGCACTACGTGCTGCATAACAAACTGCTCTAGCTCTATTACTCATTAAATGATATGCATTCCACATATCTGCGTCCATATCTGTGGTACATTGTTTTAGAGACTATAAAAAATATAAATACACTCATTTTATAATTTTTCACAAAATAAATATTTCTTTAATATTTTTTATTATTTTAAATTTTTATATTAAAAAATCTTTTGATGAAATATTAATTTTTTTAAAATATATAATAATCAATTAATCAATTCATATTCTTGAGAAGATATTTTATATTATGAGACTAAACTAGAAATCTCAGTGGTGGCCTATATGCTATAAGTGGGGGAAGTTGCAGGTCTGAACATGCTTCAACTACCCTTCCACATGTTATTTCATATACAATGCATTAAAGCATAGTGTATATTTAGATGTTTGATATCATTTAAAGTTTAATCTTTTGTTTAGTACAATGTATTAAAAATTAATAAAATAAAAATTTATAAAAGTTAAAATTTTAAATTATAAAACAGTTGGAATTTTTAAAATTTATAATATATAAAAATGTGTTTGAAATGTGTATATAATTAATATAAAAACCTGGAAATTTATTACAAAAAAAATAATTAAATTTTACCATTTCATCAGTACATGGAAATATTTTTCTGCCTTCTACTGCAGATTGACAATTTAAAAGATTAACACTCAATTTGGCAAGTTGTTCTTCTGTCATTTCAGAACATGAGGTTTTTATTTTCATAATGACTTTGTGTTGGCAAGTTTCTAAAGGTGATGATACTTGAATCTCTGTAAATTTTGCAGCTTCCTGAAGGAATTTTTCATCCTCAGTCATAGATTCATATGGTATTGAAAGTAATGGAATACCATCAGCTACCATAGTAGTTTCATCTGAACCTTTATTCCAAAACCATCCGAATATTGAGGCATAACCACTTTGATAAAATAATGATATAATGCAATAAATTAATAAATATTGTGTCTGTGCCATTTTATATCACACTTTTCTAAAAATATAATAAAAAAATAAAATGATTTATATTATTTATTTAATTACCTTGAATGAAATCAAATTTAAATTATTTAAAATAGAAGTTAAAAAAATCACCTTTTAAATGTTAAATAATTTAATGATGAATTGAATGATTAATAAGTAAAAATTTAATAAGACTGCATAATTAATTTTTTTATAATACGTTGTAAAAAAAATTAAATCTTATATTAAAAGAAAGTTATTTGTAAAATCACTTTCACTGGTCAATGACAATAAGATGTTTTTATAACATACAAAATTTTATTAATGATATCATAAACTTTATATTATTAGTAGATGAACAAAAATAACCATTTCACAGATAAAATTTGGTGACAAGTGTTTATTTTGTCTCACACACAATAGCATTTCATAACGGTCATAGCACTATAACGCAATGGCGGAAAAATTCGAAAGAGAAATTTTATTTTAAATTTTTCAAATTTTTATCAATCTTGTTTTAATATGAAGAATAATAAATTTATTTTAATTTATTATAATAATTTAAATAATTTTTTTACAAATTTATATTAAATCTTTTAATTCTAATAATAAATTTCATAAAATAAATATAAGTTTAAATGATTTAAATTTTTTGTAGAATATAATTGAAACGTACCTATCAGAAGTCTTCTTTTCGTTATATCTTGGGCAGTTTTTTAAATGAACCAATCAGAATGCTTTTCAGTTAATGACCACTTGCGTAGATTAGCTGCGTCATAAATTCGACAGCGCGAATGTGTTTTTACATTTATCCAAAAATAACATTTTTTAAAAATTTGTGTTAGAAAATAATGTTCAAAGTGTATGGTAGAAGAATTTCCAAGTATGTTATATTATTTCTTAATAAATAAGAAATATAAATTTTAATAATTTAATAAATAACTTGTGTGCATAAAATAGTATGCATATTTTGTAAATATGCGTAACTAACTTTAAAATTTGATTATTATTAGTATTATCAGACAAAAGAGAAGAAATAATGAATTAATTTTTTATAATTTTCAAAAATATAAAGCATTTTGATAAATTAAAATATATATTTTTATGTATAAATTTTCTACATATATATTATATGTGACAAATAGTTATAGAAATTAAATCATTTATGAACTATCTTTGTTCATTTTAATG